ACACCATCGCTCCGCTCTGAAGGCCTGCACCTCTGTTCCCAGGCCCTCGTTTCCCCTCCAGACGGGAGCCCTGCTCAGTCCCTTGCCCGGCTCTGCCGGCGCCCGCCCTGGGCCCTGCCGCCCTGGCTGGTGCCTTCCTGTGATCTCTCTCCGCGTGCCTCACCCCTTCTGCACCTGCTTGGATACCTCCTTTTTTATTATCGATGGGGCTAGAACTTGGTGTCACGTGCGGAACATGGACTCTGCTGTCAGTCAGCCTGGGTTCAAGTTCAAGAACTGACATTTATTAACCTGTGGCCTGGGCCAGTCTCGTGATTTTCCCTTGTGACCTGGGGTTGTGGTGAACGGCCTGTGTGTGAGCTTCACTGGGCTGGTGCACGGATGTCGCGAAGCCCTCCGGAGGCGGCGGCGGCGCGCCTGCTGGCCTGGACGGCGTCTGCCCTGGGACCCAGCAGCTCTGCACCCAGGAGAGTAAAAGCTGAGCGACCCTCGGTGCACGAAAGCAGGCACGTTCAGAATGTCCGGGCAGCCTTGTGTGTGACACTGGTCCATCGGCAACAACCAGAAAGTGCCTCAGCAGGGTATGCGCACAAGGTGCATTTTTATATCAAAGAAGAGTGCCTCCCGTGTTTAAAATGAAAGCACTAAAACTCCCTGCACCAGTGTAGGTAGTGTTCTAAAGGGCGAGGTTGAGCTTACAACGGTTGGAGAGCCCATGTATATGTTACAGACGTATGTCCGTGTGCTCGTAAAACAGCGCAGTGCTTCCAGGCGCGGGAGGAGTGAAAGGGTGCCGTTAAGAACACCCAAAGCTTCTGATCACCTCTGAGGCGCAAGGGATGGAAGGGGTTGTGGTTCCTCAACGTATTAGAATTTTTTTTTTTTTTTTTTTTGCACTAACCCGTGTCGCTCAGTTGGGCGTCACCCCGTAAAGCAAGGCAGCAAGTGGTCACCGGTTCAGTTCCCTTTCGGGCACACGCCTGGGTTGCAGTTTCAGTCCCAGGTCAGGGTGTGTGGGGGAGGCAGCCTGTTTAGGTTTCTTTCTCACAGTGATGCTTCTCTCCCTCTCTTTCTCTCTTCCTTCCCCTCTCTCTAAAAATAAATAAATACAATCTTTTAAAAAGTAGAAATTTTTTTAAGTAGGAAGCATGTGTGAAAAATTGTTCACATTTATTTAGTCTGAATATATGGGTATTTGTCGTACTCTTCTTTCTGTGTCTGTACCTTTTTATATCTTAAAATTTTTAAAATAAATACAAATATTTCAAACCAGATGATGATAGTGCGATTCTCTGAAGGGGGCGCAGACAGACTCCTGTGTGCAGGCCGAGGACAGGAGTGGCTGTGGCTGACGTTTGGGCCGAGGAGCACGCAGGGCTTCGCCAAGTGGGGAGGCGGGGGGAGGGGCGCGCCAGGCCGAGGGGCCTCCGCTTGTTTAGGGAGCGGTAAGAGCTGGTGCGGTCAGAGAGCTGGGGTGGGGAGGGGGAGACAGACCCGAAATCGGGTCGCACGGCGGTCCCACTGAAGGTGCCCAGAGTGGAGGCTTGTAAGGAACGGACAGTGTGTCCTTTGTTCCCTTTTCCTCTTTTTCTGCCTTTTTTTGGACTGCATATTTTTATGATTCTATTTGGGTCTCTGTGTATCTTTCATGTCTACATTTAACATGTCTAATCTTTCCTCTAGGTTTTTGAAGATATGGAAAACAGTTATGACAGCTGTTTAAGTGTCTTTGTCTACTAATTCTCTCATCTGTGTCATTTCTGGGTTGGTTTTGATCGATTTTTCTCTTCAGGATAGTTCCTGGTTTCCTGCTGGCTTGCATGGCTGGTAATTTCTGATTGGATGCCAGGACACTGAATTTATGTTGTTGGATGCTGGGTATTTTTGTATTTCTATAAATATTCTTGACCTTTGTTCTGGGATGGGGTTAAATTACTTGGAAACAGTTTTAATCGGGTGGGTCTTACTTTTGAGCTTTGTTAGGTGGGGCCAGAGTCCTGTTTAGTCCAGGGCTAATTTTGCCCCAACCCGAGGCAAAAGTCTTCTGAGTACTTTGTCCCCTGCCCCGAGAACTAGGAAGTTTTCCACTGTGACCGGGAGTGTGCCTGCCCCTGGCTGTGAACTCCGAGGGCTGTTCCTGTTAACCCTTCGAGCGAGGCGTTGCCTGGCTCGGACATTGGCCTCACGCGCAGGCGCAGGCCCGGACCTGGCTGCAGCCTGCGCGCCTTCGTGCCCGGCAGCCTTCTGCCTGCGACGTCTGTGCCTTGGCCTCAGGACGCTGCTGGACTCCACGCTGTCCAGGCAGAACGCTGGGCGGGGAAGAGCTCCTCCTGTGTCCCCTCTGTCAGGGAACTCCGCTCTTCATTGCCTGGCGTCCTGTGTCTTGAAAACCGCTTCATGCGTCTTACCCTTCTGTGGTGGTATAGTTGTTGCCGGTGGGGAGGTAAAGCCTCCCTGTTATTTCATCTTGGCCAGAAGTAAAAGGGTCAAAAACAGGCTTTAGAATGAAGGGGTGCGGGGGCCTGTGAAACAGACCCGGGGCCTACGAGGACGCCGACCCCTTTCCGGGCGGGATGCCCGGGGCGGGCGGGCCGCCGGGGCCTTTCCTGGGTGGGCGTCGGGGGTTCTTGTGTTTAGGGAAGGGGATGGGGGCAGGGCGTGGGAGGAGGGCTCCCTAGGGAAACCCCGGGCTACGAACGAGATCCATTGGTGACGACCGAGTCAGGGCTGGAGGACACAGGTGACGGGAGGCTCTCGGGCTGCGGTGGGGGGCGTGGGGACGACAGCGCTCAGGATGCGTGCCCGTTGCGTGCCCGTTGCGCAGAAGGCACGCGCATTCCCTGGCTGCGTGTTCCTCCTGACGTCCCGGCTGTTTGGGACACAGGTTCCCATCCTTCCTCCAGTCCCTGCTGAGTTGAATTTGTGCTTTCTTCTTTCTTTTTCTTTTAAAGAAAGATTTTATTTATTTATTTTTGGAGAGAGGGGAAGGGAGGGAGAGAGGGGAAGGGAGGGAGAAAGAGAGGGAGAGAAACATCCATGTGTGGTTGCCTCTCACACGCCCCCTGCTGGGGACCTGGCCTCAACCCAGGATGCGCCCGGACTGGGGATCAACCCCAAGACCCTTTGGGTCACAGGCCGGTCGGTGCTCAGTCCACTGAGCCACATCAGCCAGGGGTCGGTACTAAATACTTTAGCTAGAAAATATTTAGAAATATTTTCTTATTTTGAAAACTTTGCATAAAGTGCTGAAAAGCCAGCTTTGTTGAATGATTTACCTTATTAATTTGAATTATGAAATATTAGATGTAAGATCGACCTATTTTTATTTTTTAATTTTATTTTTAAAAGATTTTATTTATAGAGGGGAAGGGAGGGAGAGTGGGTGGGAAACATCAACGTGTGGTTGCATGTCATGCGCCCCCTGCTGGGGACCTGGCCCGCAACCCAGGCCTGTGCCCTGGCTGGGAATCGAACCGGCAACTCTTTGGTTTGCAGGCTGGTGCTCAGTCCACTGAGCCACACCAGCCAGGGCTAAGATTGACCTATTTTAGGAAATGATAATGTTGATACATTTCTGGCTTACTAGCACAACTTTGATTGCCTTTTTTTTAATGTGAAATTTTGAAAAATGATTTTACTTATTTTTAGAGAGGGAAGGGGAGGGAGAAAGAGGAGAGAAACATCCATGTGTGGCCGCCTCTCGCGCGCCCCCCACTGGGGACCTGGCCCGCAACCCAGGCCTGTGACCCAACCGGGAATGGAACCGGCGACCCTTTGGTTCACAGGCCATAGTCAATCACTGAGCTACACCAGCCAGGGCTGGTTTTTTTATGAAGTTTAAAAACACACGTGTACACCTGAAAACTATTTGATTTTATTAACCAGTGTCACCCCAATACATTCAATTAAAAAAAAAAACAACACAGATGTGGAGAACACATTGGAATGAACCCTGGGGTACCCAGCCGTGACCAGCATTTTGCCATTTGTTTTTCACGTGTCCCTTTCCCTCTGACACAGAAACTTTGTTTGGTTCTCGTTTTTTGAAGTATTTAAAAAGCAAACCCCAGAAGTAATGTTATTTCATTATGAATATTCCACTTTTTCTAATAAGGGCAGTTTTTGTTTTTAAAGACACAGCTCCCACCTCAGTCAGCTAAGAGAATTCTCGGTAATTCCTTAATGTCATCTAACACCAGTTCACATTCAGATTTCTCCAATAGCTTCAAAAACACCTTTTTCCATTTTATTCCTTCTAATTGGGTCCACACGGACCTAAATACTACTTCCGACGGCTGCCTCTCGCCATCTAGAGTAGCTCCCCTCGCTCTTGCCGAAGTCTCACCTCCCGAAGGTCAGGCCGCGGCTTCCTGCCGCGGCCCCGGGAGTAGCCCCGGCGCCACGGGACCCTGCTTTTGCTTTAGGCCGTGGCGTCAGTCGCCCGTGCAGTGCTGGTCGCTGGACTCAGACATGGTGTTCAGAGACGTTGTGATGGACCAGGAGCGTGCATTTCTTTTTTGGAAAATAATTCATTTATTGATCTTAGAGAAACATTGATTTCTTGTTCTACTTCTTCATGCACTCATGGGTTGCTCTCTGTATGCGCCCTGCCTGGGGATCGAACCTGCATCCTTGGCGTATCGGGACGCTGCTCTAACCCACCGAGCTGCCTGGCCAGGGCGGCGTATGCGTTTCTTGAGGTGATAGTGTGAAGTTGCGAAACGGGACAGCTCCGTAGACACACTCCCCACGTCCGTGAGATCCGCGCGTGGCAGCCTGACCCCGAGCTCAGTAGCCAGACAGGGCAGTGGGTGTCTCACCAGTGCCAGGCTCCCGGGGACGAGCAGTGTGACCAGGGTTTGTGGGCCCCCGTCCTGGAGTGTTCTGATGGCTTGAGCGCTAACTGAAGAGACGGATTTTTGTTTTCTTTTGCTACCATATTGGTAATTTACTTTACAATAGTAGAATTTGAAAGAAGATTTTTCCCTTTTATTTTTCAGGTGAAGAGATTATAAATCTGCTGAATGAAAATTTTTTTCTTAAAATTGCATATACTCCAAGAAAAACCCCCAAATGTTTTTATGTTTTGCCTGAATACAAAATTTAAACAAGAAGTTTCCACAGAAGGTAAGGTGGTCTCCTTTTTGATTGTATTGTGTCATTTGTGCAAATATGCTGTGTAAGGGAAGTTCAAAAATGGGTGACAGCAGATACTTAGTTTTGAAGGGTGCAGATAGTCTGTTGTCTTGCTTATTGATCCTCCTGAGTCTGGCTTTGAGATGCTGTGTTGTGGAAAAATTACTTGGTCTCTCCCAGCCCAAGTGTAACCCAGATAAAATGGGTACAGTCACGTGTGAGGTGCAGCCGTGTATGTGTAGTAGGCATACGGGTGGAAGGGGGTGCACCTTTGCATGTGTACTGGGGCACACGTGAGCCAGAGCCTTACATCGTCATGGTGCCGTGCAGAACACGGTGTCCTTGAAGGAGACGAGAAAGGGAGGGAGGGACTCGTGTGTCCAGCCGATTGGTGCTCCTCAAAAGCTCTCACACCGCACTCCAATTAGGTGCTGGATAAATTACAGTAAATATAGTTTCTTGTGATCACTTCAGGGCATTAAAAATTAAGATACTGCATTAAAGGCCAAAAGAGAAAAAGAAAAAGGAACGGTGAGCATCATGACAACACTCCTTTGCTCCTTGCTGGAGGAAACAGAAGCCCCTTCAGAGGAAAGCCCAGTCAGCATAGGCCCTTGGGATGTAACAATCAATTTAGGCAAACTTGAACTTACCATGAGAAAACACACGCACCATTGTGAGGAAGAGTTAGCAGAACTAGATGCAGATACTGACTAAGCAGTTGCAGTGTGTAATGATGTACAGAATGTTGAAAGAATTATATGTAGAATAAAAGTTAGTAATGCAAAGCGAAGTGTCAAAATGGACTAAGCAGAACTTTCAGAAATGAAAGAAAAGTTGAAATTAAAAACTCACTGCATGTGGATTAGGCAGAGTAAACCTGGCTGAACACAATCGTGAACTGGAACACGCATCTGGATTTACACAGTGTGCAGCCCTGAGAGATGGGAGATGGAAAATGAGGTTCAGAGAATATGGAGGATAGAAGAAAAGCGTGAGTAAACGTGTCACTGGAATCCCGGAGTGGAGGCACACCATGCCCCAAGCAGTGTCAGTGAAGAGGAGCAGCCGCGCGTTGGAACCGGGCAGCAGGAGAGACCGAGCGCTCTCCGGGGGCGGGAAGAGGGCACCTGCAAAGGAGCATCCGTCAGGCGGACAGCAGGTGTCTCATCGGCGTGCGCAGGAGCCCACTGGAAGGGGGCTAGTTCTTCAGAGTGATGAGAGAGTATAAATTTCGGTGTGTAGAGTTGTGTATTAGATGTGTTTTACAAGAAAAACAGCAATGTCTCACGTTTTTGATAAATGTTAGGGTAGGTTATTCGGACTGCCCTCTGTCCTTCCATCCCTACCCTATGGAAAGCAACTAAACTTGTTGGATTCTAAAAGAAAATGAAAAAGAAATTAAAGAACTGACAATATAGCAAGGAAGTTCGAGACCAAAATATAACAAAAAATAAAATCCCAGAAAGGCAGTTTGAGCACAACGGGAAGGGCCCTGCCTTCACCCTGGGGGCATTCGAGCATCGGGACCGAGCAGCCTTCGACTTCCGCTGGCGGCCGAAGTGGAGGCAGGCCCGTCACGGGGCGGCCTGAAGGGGACCAGCCCTGAGCCCGACGGGCGCCGAAGGCCGGCTGCGTTCTCGGAGCTGGGGCGAGCTGGCGCCTGCCTGCCCTGCGCCGGCCCTGCTGCCCCCCGGTCGCCTTTGTACTCAGCGTAGCAGGGCAGCGGCGGCACAGCAGGGAAAATCCTGTGGCTCTGGGCCGGCCTCTGTGAGGGTCTGCAGCCCAGGTTCACGCTGCCTGGCAGCTCGGCGTCATCCAGCATGAGTTTAATTTGTCCTCTGGTTTGGTGATGCCTTCGGGCGTCCTACAGACAGAACTTCTCCGGAGGAAGTTACCGTCATCCTGAGACGCGAAGAACCCTCACAGATATTTTTTAGGATATTGCTCAGACAAAACAAGCGCACAAGGAAATAAGGCACCATGAGTGAAAACCAGTAACAGCAGAGCCTGTAATATCTGCAGGAAGCGATGAAAGGTAATCTAGTATTTAGAAAAGAATTGTCTAGAAATAAAGAATATAATACAAGGTAGGGCACAAATAGGTTTCCAATTGTGAGTATGCAAAAATTGTATTATTATTTATTAATTATTGTATTATTTTCCATTCGAACATTCATAAACTCACTTTTGCCCCACCCTGTATGTAGGTTTGATAGCGAATCATTTATACTGCAGAGAAATTCAGTCAGCCAGACAGAACACGGAACGGCGCCCGGCCTGAAGCCTGGGGAGGAGATGGAGACACAGCAGAGGCGCGGGGGGGGGGGGGGGGGGGTGGAGGAGAGGCTCCATCACGTGTGTGATTGGCGTGTGTGAGAAGACTGGAGGGTGGGGGCAGATTTCTTATCTGAAGAGATAAAGGCCAAAGATTTTCAAGAATGGGTGAAGAAACCCAGCCTGTTGATTCCAAGAGACAGATGAACCACAAGCGGGAAAAATAAAAAAACGCACAGCTGGTCAGGAGAGAGTGAACTTTCAGAGCACCAAACACAGAGACCGACCTGAAAACAAACAGAAAGGAGGACGGCGGGCGTCTCCTGCAGTGTGGGCCCTGATTCCGCCCGCGCGGCGGCGGCGGAGAGGGGAAGCCGCGGGCCTGGGTCCCCGCGCCCCTGTGCCACCCCACCTCTGCTCTGTGGCGCCACCTCTTCCCGGCTCTGTCCCTGGGGCGTCCCCTCGTCGGGCCCACGGGTGGCCTCTGCTCTATAAATGATTCGATACTAAACCCTCGCATCGTGTTCTTTTATTTCTAGACATCCCATCTGGTTCTTCTCAGGCAAAAATGTCTGTCAAGAATGAGGAAGAAATAAAGACATTTTTAGGAAAACAAACTGAAGAGTTGGTCACTGGCAGTCCTTTACTAAAGATACCTCTTTAAATATCTTCTTTAAAAGAATGTGCAGAAAAACGGATCCCAAGTCAAAGAGCTGAGATTCAGGAGAGAATGGGAAGCAAGGAAAGGAACGTCGTCTGTAAGAATGGCAGTAGCAGTGGCTCAGGGAGCACCGTCGAGGTGGACTTACGTAAAACCTGACGGTAGCGTGGACGTCGAGGAGGAGGCGCAAGCAGCAAGCGCAGGCAGCAGCACTCCGGGGGTCTGTGACAGCGGGGTTCGGGGTTCGGGGTTCGGGGAGGCGTCGATTTGCCGCAGCCCCCGAGGAGCCTCTCTTGCATAGAAATAGCGTGCAACTTCCACAGAGGTGGGGAAGGTAGTGGAACTTTCTTTATTCTGACAAAAGAAGCTTTTAGCAACCCTTACGCTTGGTGATAGAGGGAATGTTTCCCCGGCGAAAGTTTGCTCTGAACACTCCGGTTGAGGATCCTGATGCAGGTGGTGGCCAGGCCAGTAAATCAGAAAAGTGGGAAATAAGAAGAGAATTCGAATGGAAGAAACAAAACTTACTATTCGTTTATGATATGATCATGTAGTAGAAAGCCCCAAACGCGCTAAAGATAACTTAATCAAATTAATAATCACCTAGGAAGTTGCTGCATACAAAATCAGCTTATAAAAATATTGATTATCATATACCATCCACAAACACATCGCAGTAAAAAGTCCTGCAGGTGGTGGCATTGTGAGTAAAAAGTGCCCAGGGAGAAATGTAATAAAAGGTGTGAGACCTCTGTGGAGAGCAGTGGGGATCTTAGCGAAACTAAAGAAGGCTCGAGTAAACAGACAGATCCCCCCTAGTTTTGGTTTGGAAAACTTAATGATGTAAATGTGCCAATTCTCCCAACACTGATCTAGGAAGTCGTCATAATTTCAATCCCAAAACTCAAGAATTGTGTGTGGGCTTGGGAGGGCGGAATTGATAAGCTGACTTTAAAATTACATGAAAACGAAAGGGTCCACGAAAACTTCAGGCCTTTCTGGAGACCTCCGCGTGCCCCGCGAGCGCGAAGTCTTGCCGCGGCAGCGTTCTGGAAGCCTGGGATGCGGTGTTCGTGGGGCTGGCAGCGAGCCCGTCGGTCCTGAGCCGCCCAGGTTGGCGCCGGTCTCGTTACCAGCCACACGCCCTTTCGTCACGAGTCCCTGTGGAAGTCTCACTCTGCTGTTTTGGAAAAGGTGACCACTCTTGTTTAGCTTTTGTGTGTGTTTTGCTGCCGCTGTTTGCGTTGCTCACATTTTCCCCAATGTACAGCTCCAAACCAAGGAATAGCGTCTGCTGATGGTCAGTAAACGGTGGTCAGGAAGGGGCGCCAGGCCGCACCACACGCTGGCCTGTCCAGTGTGGGGGGCCGTCCATGCAGAAATGTTCAGACACGGCCTTGTTGGTCGGTCAGCTGGCGGTGCAGACACTCACCACTCTCCGGGGACTCGCATCTCCGTTTTTGCCGGGCCAAGTGGCACTCCAGCGGTTTGACCACCGGCTCTGGGGGAGTGAGAGAGCCTCCTAGTTGGTAACATTTGTCAATTTTCAGTGCAGGCACGTCCGTCCTGTTAGATTTAAGCTGCCACTGAAGGTGGGCTCGGGAGAGGCGCGTGCCGCTCCAGCCTGCCCTCTGCACAGAGCGGGCCCTCTGCGGCATGGCGACCTCATCTCTTTCCCTCCCCTTTCGGAGTCAGGGTCTGTGAGGGTAACGTGTGGGCGCTGTTCTCGGCTCTTGGAATGGGTATCACAGCAGCTCTGCTCTGCAAGACACGGGTGCTCCCTGTTCCCCGTTTACAGTGAGGAAACCAAAGTACAAGAGGTCGCATGCCTGACTTCAGGTCGCACCGCAGCTCCAGGACTTTGATTGTAAGCCCTTCAGGTTCTGCTTTCTCTTGGCGGCAGTCTGCGCCTCTGAGTGTTCTTGTGTGAAGAGCTCCTTCTGGAACTACGGGCCGTGTGGCGGCATTTCTTTGGAACCTGCCCTCTGTCTGATGGCCAAGCTAACCGGAAAAAGTAAAGACAGAAGCAGAACTTCCAGTTCCGTTCAGTGGC